GTGGTCTATGATGATTAACTTAAAATTATGTTATTTGATAGTTGAGTAATAAAAAAATATTCTGTAATAAATAGTTGATAATTAATTACTAGCTCGACATGCCTATAGTCATTATAATTTGCTAATGTATAAATTTCAATGCATAACACATTAAATTTTCTTGTTTTTTGTTAGTTGTTATTTAGAACAAATTTCACACTCAAAATTTAATAGCTGAGGTAGAGCCAAAATTCAATCACTATTACTTCAATATGACCTGTTATTTCTAGAATGTGTTTTGTAGTCATCAACTGAAGAAAAAAATTATATAAGAATAATTACTTCTCATTAATTAAAAATAGTAATTATTTGCCTCTTAGAAAAAATAATTCTGCCTTCATAAATTGCAATTTTAATAATCAATTAATCTGACAGTCCAATGATTTATTCTTAATAGATTTTAACAAGTTCAAAATATGCCTCAGTGAATCATTAACTCCCAAACCCTGCTATTTGAGATAATGATAACATACGTGACCAATATATCGTCACGGCAAGCTGATATTAATTAAAAAACCATTTATCGCGACCATAGAAAAAAACCCTCTAAGTTTGGCGTTTTTCCTTTCAAATAGTTCCACTTTTATTGCTGTTTTGAAAAAGACGAAGAATAATGTAATAAACCATAAGCCCGTAGAATAATTAAGAAAACGTATAATGAACATAAGCGCAAACATCGGCGAAGTTCGCGAGTGCGCTTTCGCCTTTTCGCTTGGCTGGCGCGGAGCTTCGGGAAACGGCGGTGGGCCCAAAAAACCACGGGAGGGCGGAGGGCCGAGGGCGGAGAGGCAGAGAAACGAAAGTGTAGAAAAAGCCGCGCCGCCGTTCGGCCAAATACGGGGGCGGCTGCTCCCGTTTCTTGAGCGGGCGCGATGCGATGCGATGCGAAGCGATGCGCGCCCTCTGCATTCTTGCGAGCGGGGCGGTGCGGCGCACTCGAGGCTGCGCGCGGAGCACGCGCGGGCGGCAAGGAATTTCGGCGCGGGACCTGGGTGGCGGTGGCGGTGGTGGTGGTGGCGGCGGCGGCACAGTGATTCAGGCCCCGCAGAAAGCGGAAGAAAATCGAAAAGGTGATTCAGGGAGCGGTGAATGCGCCTTCGAGCTTGGCTCACAGGTTCCCGAGGTTGTTGAACGAGAATATTTTGTCATTACTTTCGAAACAGCGAACACAAAATTGTGGTTTAGGATATTTAGAATTTAATTAAAAATGTAATAGATATATCATGTTTTGGGAGTCACAGAATTGGAATATTAAAAAATAACATTTGAGTATCAATAATCTTCAATCTAGTGCAAACAGAAAGAGAACACGCAATACATTGTCTTATCAATGGAATAAGATTTTTATTATTTACTACAAATTAATAATCCGTATTTGATGAATTCAATAACTTCCCGTACAAGGGAAGTCAGTGAGAAAATTTGTCATATTCTATCATTTTGTCTTGACACAGGAGTCGAGAAGTGAATTCGTACGTAGAAATTCAATATTTTCCATCGCGAACTATAGAATTTAATGAATATACATTGCCAATTATTTCTAATTGTAAGTGAAGGAGAAATGAGATCGCATGCGAACTCGTTCTAAAAAAAAAAATTGAATAACACACTCATTTGATAGGTTCTACGACTGTGAAACAGTTAACACATAAACAGATTAATTATAAAGTAATGATCGATATTTTAGAAATGACTCTTTATCCCGAACCACTGTGCGCGGTCGTTCTGGGGGCAGGTGCAGCGGGCCCCCTGTTCAACACAAGGCAGCGATGTGCGGGGGCGGGCAAGCGCTGGCCGCAGAGAATTCGTAAGAATGGACGGCGTTTGTTTTCCCGCACTCCGTCCTGTCTTGGCGGAAACACGAGTAACTAAGGAATGAAACTCACATACGTTATTTTTTTTATTTGTTCATTTGCAAATTTTCTCAGTATTTGGAATTGCTAGAATTTTAGATTTGAACAAGAACAAGTAATGCATTAACAGGAATACACGGAATTCTTTTGCTTGTACGAAATTACCAGATCCTTGCGATTTGCAATTTGTTTTGAATCTGACAATCATAATTAATAAAAATTTAGATTCATAATCAATTGCCTTCAACTCATCTTTTTAACTGAATCATGGAAACCTTGACGAAAACTTTTCAATAAGGGTCAGTTTTTCTCTTCTCGCTCAAGAGGTTCAATTCTACTCTTGGACTAGCTATCAAAAACTTGAAAGAGGATGGGAGTTATAAACAAAATTCTGTTTAGAGAAATCTCCTGACCTTCCGTTTTCTCTGAGATAAAGTACTTCTACCCAACTAACTCAAGGTAATTTAAGCTCTTTATAATTCAACGTATTATAAAACCGGTACCGGATATTCAATTACTAAGGAATAATGTATACTGCACGAAAAAAAACTCTTCTGAAGACCAAAAGAAAGAGTATGTCTCCATCCAGAGTCTTCACTCTAAACACATCACCCCATTGTCCTTGCTTGAGAACACACGCCAAATCCCTGGGTCAGGACAACAGCAAACAACGCCACCGAATCCTCCGATGCGTTGAAGAGTCTTGACAAAAGCGGACACTACATCTACCCCCACTTAGCGACGGGACGGGGGCGGTACTAACGGGAATTTAAGCTACTGGGCGCCGCGTTAACATTTCAATGAAGCGAGGCGTCGCGACGCGGAGGTACGAGCAAGGGCCGACACCGCCGGATCCTGTCGCGAGGAATCCTGAAGCCCTGGAGAGACAAGTGAATGATGCCGCAATTAACGGCTCTAAACGCGTCGTGGGGGCGGTAAGGCAGGTGGCCTCCGACACGGAGACCTCAACGAGAGGCGAAAGCGGGAAGAACATACAGAGGGAGGGGTACTAGAAGATGAAGCACTGGTGTCGTGATATATTAGTATGGAGTTCATGTTTTAAAAGTTAATATATTACGGGCATGAGGAAGGATGGTGATATATAAGTTTTCCATGTTTCATATTTATTTAGGACTTTATGTACGTTTCACACAATGAGAACGAAAACTTAACTGATTTCATCAAAATTTGAATGTTGTGTTTATAAATGTATAATAAATATATACGATAATGTAAAAACATTTATTGAGGGAAAGTAACTCATTACCAGACATGATTTCTTCATTCTATTTACCGAATGATTTTGTTCACATTTTCTCGGGCATATACTTTGAAAATTACTTACTACAGAAGTTGAGAAATTGTATCTCCATGAAAATAAAATAACTATTTTCAAACTTTTATGAACATGCATTTCAATTACATTTGGATCAAATTAATTTTTGGAAACATTTTAACTCTCTCGAACGTTAATTCAGCTAGAAGATATTCATGAATTGGTCCTGTCCAAGGAGGCCATTTCAATCATTTTCAAATCACTCACTGGATATATCGTCTAAGAAGACATTATGGTTCCTACTCTGTAATAACCGTCAGTAGATTTATCGTATAACAGTTTCCGTGAGATAATTTTTTTTACATCCAACTGCGTTAAACAGCGCACTGACTTTTCTTAGTTCTGCACCAACAATCTGCTAATACTCTTTGGTTGATGAACTCTTCAAACGTTCGGAATACTCGAACTAACCAAATTGCACATCTGTGTAATATGTGAATGGTACGTACACAGCTAGCTGATGTAACAAATATGCGAAGTGTGCAAAGATCACGAATACCGGAATGAAAGGCGCCAGTCAATACTCGCCAGTTGAGTTATTTCCAGCTGCACTGTTTACGCGCTCTATTTACAGATCATGGAGACTGCAAACTTTCCTTAAGTTCCAAACACATTACGGAGACGTGTTACAAGCCGCCAAAGATAGACCCATCGTGAATCATTGGGTATTGAGTCGCGCGCTAACTCAGCAAGTGAATTTTGGAATCGATTTACAACGTCGATTTACAGCTTCTCACCGCCCAACTGACCGCGTTTCGGATCATGAGGTTACATCACGCGCCAGCCGACGCAGCACGGCCGGGCGGGCGCGCCACCCGATCGGCTCTTTGCACGAAAGCTCGCGGCGGCGGCGGCGGCTCCCGTTGAGTCACGCGCTCCCGCGCGTAGTAAGAATCTCCGCCCGGTGTCCCTTGAGCAAACCGGTGCCGCCCACGGGCTTCGAAGCGGGACGGCTCCGGCCGGGCGCCCGCCGCCGTGGCGGGAACCTGCCTTCTTCTTCTGCTTCTCCTCCTCCTCCTCCTCCGCCGCCTCCGCGGGGGGCTCTGAATGAATCGCGGGCGGCCACGCAACGCGGAGCCGAGCGGCGGGAGTTGCCAGACGCTGCTAGGCGGAGCGGAGCGCTGCGCGAGTGCCGGCGTAACCCGCCGCGCCACTTCTTACGCACGTCGCCTACGACGGAGAGCTGCAGTCGCGAAAAAAAAAGTGAAGCGGCTGGCGCGTGAAAAGATTCCCCACACGCACAAAAATCTAGGTGAACGAATGCACGGAACGAACAGTTTTGTCGTGCTCGACACAGGGCATCGCAATTGTCTAACCGCTTTTTTTTCATTTTCACGAAGAACATACAAAGAAATTTTTGATGTTTTAAATCTATCCACACGTTCGCTTATTCACGAACTAATATAGAAATGTTTATTATTAATAAGTGAATTTTAATTCACAGAAATTTATCAAGGAGGTAAGTTTATGGTTTTAATTCAATTCCTCGACTACAATAACACACATATCACAACCTCACTTACACCGCATCTTCTAAATATAAAATGATTATCACCAAAGCTACACGGCTGAAATTCTGAACATTGGTAAAGCAATGAATGGAAACGTGTAGCGAGTAGATTCTACGACATTCTCTCTCAGAGTAAAAATAATCCGCATGAGAATTCATTCAGTATCCACTTCGACGAGAGAAGACACGTGGTGGTGGAAGGCGACAAGTGTAGCACTGAAGCGAGCATGCGAAGAAGGGGGAAAGAGAAGCGTGTACTCACTGTGGTCGCTCTGGTCGTGGGTGCCGTTGACGGTGCCGTCGGGCAGGATCTGCAGGTGGCGGTCGTTGATGAACATGCGCCTGGGGAGGCCGGGGCCGTAGAGCGCCGACAGGTTGGTGCTGCGCTCGCTGCGCGCGGAGCCGTCGTCTTCGAAGTCGTCGACGCCGAGCGCCGCGGCGGCGGCGGACGGCGACGCGTGCGGCGACGGCGGCGGCTTGGGGTCGTTGCCGCCGCGCGCCGGGCGGCGTGGTGCGAGAATGCGCGGCGGCGAGCGTGCGGCAGGAAGGCCTCGTGCGACGCGGGGCGGGGTGGGCGCGCGGCGGGCGGCGCAACGGCAGCTCGCGCGGAAGCGGCGGCGCCCAACGCGCGCTCACCAGGAAGGCGCACAGAAATGTAGTGAGTAGCCCCAAGGGGCAGGCCACTTTAACCATGTCTGAGTGGCGCGAGCTCATAGAGGAGCCCATTGCAGGGCTTGCCCTAACCACGTGGACACGACGACAACCGGCGACACACCGCTCCCACGGAGACACAATCCAACTGGGCCGTAGTGCGGGGAATTCGGGGAAGAGGGGAACTTATTCGAACACACGACGTCTTCGGGGGCTCACCACGCCCTGGTCTACAGGGGGTCTATCTTAACTTCTCTATCGTTGCACACAACTGAACGGACACACTCCGGGGCGAAGGAACTAAGGAAACTAAGAAACGCGACGCAGCATGACGAGGACGGGGCTTCGTCGGAAGCACGTCAAGTCAGGCGCACTGGCGAAGGACTTGCGCGCACTCCGCGCGGCGCTATCAGCGCCCCGGGGGCGGCGGCGCTCGCGGGGGCGCCGGGAGCGCCTGCGCTAACGCTATAAGGGCGGAGGCGCACGCCCGCAGCTCGAGTCTCGCAGGCCCCCCACGTGGGCCCGACTTCCCACCCACACCCCGATTCGGCAACCACGAATTTTCGTCGAGAATTTTTTTACTTGATGAAAATATTTTTTTTTTATTTTTTCGCTAAGAAATCACTTTCACTTGACGCTGGAAGAGACGGCGCGCAGCCGAGCGGGGTCCGGGGCGGCGGCGTAGGCGGATCGCCGCGCATGTTGGGGTCGGCGGCGGCGCTGGCGCGCTGGCGCGTCGGCGGCGACGGGAGGCGGCGGGTGCGTCGTGGCGGCGCTGTGGCGGCAGCGACGGCTCACACGCGCACTGGCGTCAGGGCGTCGTGTGCCTGCGGCGGTGGTGGCGGTTGGCGGCGCAGCGGCGGCCGCGCCGCGGCGGGGCGGGCCTGGCGGGGAGCGGCGCCTGCGGCGCGTTGGGCGCGAGGGCGCTCGGCCGGCGCGGGTTGCGGGGTTCTGTCTCCTCGCAGCGCGCCTTCGCGGGCGGCCGCAGAGCGGCGCTACCTGCTGTTGCCGCGGCGGCGCGGAGGAGAGGGCGCGAGCGCGGCGGGGCACGCCGGACGGGGCGCAAGCGGCGGGCCGGGCCGAGCCGAGCTGGGTCGCACCGGGACGGGTCGCGTCCGGGACGGGCAAGACACTTCTAGGATTGCCCACTTCTGCGCGCAGCCTCCTCCCGCGGCCGGTCGGAGGGTGGTGGGCCCCGCGCGGCGTGCGCCCGCCTTCGCTGTCCGCGCTCTGGCGCCGATGCGCGCCGCAACAATGCGCGCCGCGGTGTCCGATTTGGCCGCGCCCCGCGCTCCCAAACCAAGCACTTCGACACATGCCTCGCGCGGCCTTTCCCACCCCCCCTAGCCGCCTTCACCAACACTTTTTGTAGTCGCGTAGAACAGAACTTTCACTTTCAATAACTAGTAGGAAACTACGCGCACAGCCAACAACGGTACTCACGATTAGTTATAACGAAATATTATCGATATTGTGTTTTCACATTTTCACTGCTGCCTTCAATCACAACGAAACTGAAACCCTTTTCAGTCTGGCTCCATCATATAGCCACTTCATCCTAACTTAAGAATTACACACGCAATGCACAAGATCGAGGTCTGATGGCTGGCCACCTCCACTGCCGTCCGCCAAGACACACCGTCCTCTTCGAGCCGTCCATTGTTGGACGTCGGAAGTTGGCTCTTCTTCTCGTGACGTAGAGTGCCTGCGCTTATCTGAAAAGAGAGATTACCCTGTTAGTGGGCTCCAGTTTTAGATCTGCCGGACTTGTGATTCAGCCAAACGATAACAACAATAATCTAACAAACTATCGTATATAAAACTAGAGTGAGCGTAGCCAATAGAGATACGCGAAACAAGCCACACACGACGACAAACTTGTCATTTCAGGAATCGATCGGAGCGGTTACAAATGGTCGAGCTATCTCCGAATCTTTTTTGTTGGTCTCAGCACCCTTGCAGACTACCGAAAGAGCATTGCCACTTATCGATTTTAAAAAGTTGTTCAATGTTGAAGAGATAGAGAAAGGGAATAGTTATGATTGGTAATGTTGTATCCACATATTGGAAAAAGATAAAAAGAAATGGATACACAGTCAGTGGGTTGAAAATTACAAAACCATTTTGGAGTAAGCTCCAGGATTTGTTTTTATTTAAGATCGCCCCCCTATCAACATCTAGGTTATTGAAATCACTGATTGCAATTACGGTGTGTAAGATGAATGATAGTTGATGATAGGGTGTGGAAAATGCGAAGCGACACATACAACCCCTTTTCACGAAGGGCCCCGGTTGGGGAAAAAATAAAACATAAATCCACATTTAGGAAAAAATGTTTCATGATTATAATTTTTTTCAGTTAAGGAAGAAACTAAATGCAGTAATAATAATAAGTTGTTTGTGTGTAGGAGAATAAGCTACTAATTTAATAGACAGAGACGTTAAATTACATTACCATGTAAAATTGGGTTGTTTATACTTTTTTGCTTGTTCGGCAAATATGTGAAAAAATATTCCCAACATTCAACTTCTATTACCTAGAAGGTTGTGGTGTACTGATGCTTCTGTCCTACAGTGCTACAAACAAGGGCGAAACCCACGAGAGCGGAAACGAGAAACAGAAGAGGCACAACAATAGAACGTGTGGCAAACCGGTTGAAATCTGTCCACGGGCGAGTCGGCGGACGCAACGGCAGCTGTTGGCCTCCGCGCCGCACACGCGTGTGGCATTGACGGCCAGTGAGGCGAGGGCCAGGTCGCGAGGCAAGCCAATGAGGTTGGCGGTGCGGGGGGCGAGCGAGAGGAGAGAGACCGGAGACGAGGCGGGAAGCGAGGCGAGGCGAGGGAGGCGAGGCGAGGCGAGGCGAAGGCGAGCGAGGCGAAGACGTGGCGAGGCGAGGCCGAGGCTGAAGCGAGAGGCCGACGCGATCGCCTGTGCGCGTGGAAGCGATTGGCGGGCGGGGGCGCGCCAGCGGCGGAGCGGCGGCGGTGGGCGGGTCGCGGGGGCGGGCAGGGGAGAGGAAGGGCGAGACGGGAGCCGGAGGAAGATTAGCTCCCGAGCAAAAAACGCGCCGGGCAGCAATCGTTGCGAACTGAACTGCGACAACGGGGCATGCGCTCACACACGCATACGCGCACACGGAATAACGCACTGCGAAGCATGCGACATCGCTCGAAGCGTTTTCAACTTTGGAAAGAGCGAAATGGTTGTGAGGTAACAAACTTTCTGCGCCGAATCACAACACTTTCAGAGCGAAAATAGAATGTCGTCAATACAATATGTTTAAGTGCGTTTCTTTACTTATTTCCTTCAAGCACTTCAGGGTTGCCACCTGCCTTATCGTTTCAGAGAAACGAAAGGTCTTGATAGCTTCAAATATTTGGTATATCACGATGCCAGTAACACACTGTACAACTATGAGCACTTCCGGGTGAACAAAAGTAAATCTCTCGCACAGACAGAAAGTGATTGCCACATAAAAACGACCATACAAAATTACTTATATCAATCACTGGTTAGTTAGGTTTCGAAACAAACGCGTGACTTGAGAAATCAGTCAAGAATGAAGATACGCTACACTTCCCCCACCCAGCAAAGATGTTATTTATTGTATGATTCCAACAAGTTATGTTTAGGCAGCGGAAAGTAGAATGTTCAATTGGGAACTACAGTAAAGCAAATGCAACGGCAGCAGTTCGTGAGTTGGGTCAGGATGTTTGGCCTGCAACGTGCAGAAGCAAGCGCATCTGTTCGCAGCCTTCATGGCTGGGCAACGCAGCTGCTGCGCGACCGTCCTCGCCTGTGCTACGTCGGTCTTTGTCACAGATGTCACCGCTCCATTCATTCACTAGAATGCTTTAGCAAGAGCGAAAGCACGGTACCGCAAATATCGTCGTTGCGCCTGCAAAAACAGCCACGTGCACCTTTTACGAAAATGAGTTATGCACACTTTAAGAAGGAAGAAACTCCTTACAATTGGTACGTTAATGGTACCTTAATCACACCCTAATTGAATAAAATATGATGGTGTGGTAACACATGCGATGTAACGAAGTGTTTTATGTTTCTCCTGTATAATGGCATTGACTTCATATTGCCTTTTTTTGCAGGTAGAGCGAGAAACACGATTTAATGTCAGTTCATGTAATACCTAAACTAAAATAAATATAATGTCTAAAACATTGATGAATTTTTACTAACGGATTGGTCCAATTCTAAATATTCTCAAATCCAAACAAGATTTTTGAAGTGCAAAATTGTTTTTCGTTGAATCTCCCGAATTTCAATTTATTCAAATTATTAATCACCAGGGTACCAGGGTTGAACAACTTGCATTTGTTTCATTCACTTATTTTCTTACATTTTGCACTATTTATACAACATTTAGGCGGTCATTTTGTTTTCTTCAAATACTTCGTGATTGGTTGTTGAATTTTGTAATTAAAAATGATTTTTTCATGATTTGTATGATAAGAAAGATGAATATTTTTTATTCAAGCTTTAAAGCCCCTATCCCAAAACTTAAAAACTTTGAGGATTTTTTTTTTCTGATGAAAATTTAAGCATTTATTGAAATGAGTGTGTTTTTAATTTTATATCAATATATCGGAATCGAGAAAGTGAAAATGAAATCCGTGCTTTGGCATTTATGAGAATAAATTGAATTCCCTTATCTCTTTTACATTATCTTACTCGCATACGCTATATCATACTGCGAATAAGAATAAACGTACAAACTGTTGGAAGAGATATTTAATCTTAATATGCCAATGTAATTAGGCTTTTATTTTAGAAAAATATAACAAATAATATGTGACAGCATCAAAGAAGACCACATGTTGGCCAAAGCATCAGCCAGTACCACAGAGACACAGTTCATTCCAGATGGACAATACTCAATTCTATAATTCTAGCTATCTGAAAGAATTTTAAATACCTCTGCATTTGTAATCGAGAGTTTTCCGAAGAATTCGTCACAATCACAGGAAAAGACATGCGCTCTCTCAGTGCTTTCATATACCCAAATACAAAACGCAACTTCCAATAATCGCTTCGAGGAAGCACTTCTCGGACACTACCATTCATGGATTGCTCTTGACCATCACCATCATTTTTTTGAAAGTGGGAGAATAATAATTGAATTATTTCGGTTGTCCAGGGACACAGCTAGAAAACAAACAAAGCTCTTCGTGAGACCATTTTAAGTCCTCGCTTTAGAACATCAAACTGACGCGTATGTATCGTAACAGTTAATGAAAATCTTGCTTTATTCATTTTTCAAATACATTTTCAGTGACATACATAGCTTGTAAGCTATTATAATATGCGTCACAATTGCGTAGGTTATTTTACAGTACAATATAATAACATGAAAATGAAATTGAACCTAATAAGAATAAAACATAATAAATTCCTCCAAGAAAGATACCATTCGTTCCAAACGGAGATGCCTATAAAGAAAATAAGGAACCCTTGTGTTTACGAAAGATACACTCCAATCAGTTATGTAACATCTCGAAAGGGGAGACCGGAGAAGTTAAATGTAGACCATTGTACTACTTGCTATATTACCAACTTAGTACTTTCCGTACTACATACTTAAGTGTGTGGACACGCTAATGCGCATTCCTCTTAGCATTACTCACTGTAAGTTCAAAACGTTGAACCCTCACAAATAGGAGAGAAAAAGACATAATCAAATACGAATAACTAGTTACTCGCATCGACGCTGCATTAGAAGCACTATGGTCGTTCTAAGAGGTCTACTGCGAACGGCGTCCGACGGAACACTGTCGCTCCGGCTTCCACCTCCACTGCCGCTCCGAGCCGCGCCACCCGGTCAGCCCCGCGCCTGCGCGAACGCAGCCCACCACGCGGCAATGTTTGCCGGGCCCAGCCTATCAGGGGCAGCAAAGCACCCCAACCACCTTGGACAGCATTATTTCAGATATCACCGAGTGGGACCTAGTTTTCGATTCCCGGCCAATCCATGTGGAATTTATATGTACCTAGCGATCTCTCGGTATGTATGCTCGGGGTTCGCCCATTTTCCCTCCCGCATATTCCGTCATCATTTGCTATCACAAAATTATCCGACCATCATCGATTGCTTGATTAATTATTTCGTGTTTCTTGTCAACTGCCAAGATCACTACTCTCGTGTGTAGTACTTGCTTCTCATCGGGAGGTGGTGGTGATAATTCGTCTGCTATCGGAGTTTTCCACATCAATGTATCTCCCACCGGGGGCACCATATCAGCCGGGATAAGCTCTAAGAGTGTGTGTGTGTGTGTGTGTGTGTGTGTGTGTGTGTGTGTGTGTGTGTGTGTGTGTGTGTGTAAGAGGAAGGACAGATCGAGGGCGGTCCGTCACCTTTTTTTTACGGTACTGCTCTGGAAATTGCAGGACACTTGGACCTCAATAAAGAAATAAAATCATTCCGGACATTTTATTTCTTGTAACTACTGCAATATCTTGCTATCACAGTGCTTTTCTCTGTCCTTTTATATTAAATCTCTAACCACTTCATTATTTCATGACAGACTTAAAATTGAATCTGTGGATTTTTAAAAGCACTTTGATGGACTGAATGTAGCATTGGCTAAGCAACGAAATGTGTTCCAAATTATTCAAAAACATTCCAATTCATATTGCCAGTTTCTCGCCTTAAATATGAAACTACTGTCACAGCAGAAATTATTGGAATATGACAAG